GACGTCTGAAGCGGTAAATGTGTGCAGGCTGTTCCTTGATTATCTCTGACGGCAACACAACTGGAAGACGCGACAGCATCACTCCAGTCCTTTCGAAAGATAACGTAATGGCGTAGAATTTTTGTTTGTTTTTTCACACACTAGCATTTTTGGTGTATATTTGTGTAAGTTTTTGGATATCGTGGTTTTCAGCAGTTTTCTGATGTTTCACTGTATAGTATTTGTGTCATTTTAATGTTATTTGGTGCCGTGTGTTCAAAAATTGTTACCTTAGGTTACAGTGCAATGTGGGGGCCTTGTAATTCGACGTTTTTTTTTTTTTTTTGGCACGCTTCAAAGAGCTGCGCCTATCTTTCAGCGTCTGAGGCGCCGGAGGAGTGGGACCCGTATCCATCACCGGTTTCGAGGGCGCGGATGGTGCCTAATCAGCAGGCACGTTCACAAAAGTTTTGGACCTAACTGCGCTTGCGGTGGTCCGGCAGACTCTGAAGTCTGCTCAAGCGATGACATCAGAGATTACATTGTGGACTGTGTTCATGGATCTGTGTGGGCCTACGTGTAAACTGCGACATCCCCAAATGCTTCCAATTTAGATTAGTTGTTGTATTGGGGCTTGTCGCCAACCCCCTGAAGGAGGTCCACTTCCCAACTTGGTTACATGATAACTTGGGCCAATCTATTCAGTGAGCGTTTTCGATACAAGAAAAGGTGAGATGGCTCGGACTATTTTTTTTTCTGGCTATGGAAGACATAATACCCGGAAAATGCCTGCTTTGGTTTTGTGAATAGGAAGGGTTCTTGCGCCACCTTTCCGGGTGGCGATCAGGGAGGTGGGACAGAGAGTTGGTTATACAGATTGTCTAATTTCGGTGGATATGGTGGCCACCCACCACCAAACCCAACAAGGGGACGCTACAAGGTTGAATAGTAAACACTTGGAGACGCCACCCATGCATCGCTGCTATAACCGAATATAACTACTCGTAGCAGGGCTAACCCGTCACCAGGGAAATCGATAGTAAACGGAAAATCCACACACCACACGCCTGCTTGCGCAGTTGCCGGGATTTATGACAAATCAATTATTTAACGCTTATTTAACGGCTCATACGCAGTGATTCATCGCTTTTATCGCTATCGCATTAAAAGCGATGCCCAGAATTGCTGGGTATGAGGCGCGTAGTTATGAGTCGATAGTACTTTGTGCTCCGGCGACATAGGCGCGCCGCCATTTCTTACTGGGCGCAGTGGCGCCATTGGACAGCTTGAGCATCAGTTGTTGGCAGAGCTTGGGGCAAAGAAAATGCGGTCTTTTTCGCCCGAAATCAGCACCAAATAATCAGTGATGCCTATATATGTTCGTCAGCAGGATATTCTTTTGGGGACTGCTAACTAGCGTTGTATCGCAGCTGGGGGAGGGGGAGAGCAGTGGTGTAGCTTGTGTGAGGGCAAGGGCCGGTAAAGCTTAAGAGGGGCAAGTGTCCCTTTTGCATTCTAGCCACCCTACCGCTGCCGACGCCCATGGCGCTGGCACAAATCGATGAGAACACTCTATTGAAGTTCGTTGAACTTAAAACCTCCTTTGTCCTGTGAACGTAAAAACTCATCCGCTTTGCAAAGGCGATATGTTGTTCCCTGCATGCGCTCCTCATCTGAGGTTTAGGCGTTCAAAAAAAAAAAGGGTTCTTTGCAGAGATGTGACAGTCAAGGCCGCAAGGTCGAGTCATGGCCGCGGCGGCCGCATTTTCGATGGAGGCGAAAATGGTTGAGGCCCGTATGCTTAGATTTAGGTGCGTGTCGAAAGAACCCCGTGCAGGGTGTCGAAACTCTCATAATCATAATATTCTGAGACGTTATGATGACCGAACAATTATTATTATTATTATTATTATTATTATTATTGAATGTGAATGTTTCATTCCATCTCCCACTGCGATTATGAACACGCGGCTGAAATGAAAACCAAGTTGTTTCTACTCGACCAGTGCACCGCAGTGTTGATTTTTTCACTCATTTCTTTAACTATACAGGTATCTCTATAACCTTTTCAATTGTGTGTTTTGAGTTCTTAGTAAAAAGCCAGGTATGGGGATGTGCGAGAGTGGTGTGCCGCGAAACAAACGAAAAGGCTGACGACGTCCCCCCGCGGTGGTCTATAGTGGAAGGTACTCGGCTGCTGACCCGCAGGTCGTGGGATAGAATCACTGCTACGGCGGCTACATTTTCGAAGGAGGCGAAAATGCTGTAGGCCCATGTGCTCAGATTCGGGTGCACGTTAAAGAACCCCAGGTGGTGGAAATTTGTGGAGGCCTCCACTACGGCGTATCTGACAATCGTATGGTGGTTTCGGGACGTTAAAGCCAACATATAAAATCAATCAATCTTTAACGTTTCGACAGCACACGTTGACGAAGTAATGTAAAAATCTAAGGATAGAGAAAAGGCGGGTGGAAAGCGAGGGACTGACGCTGATTGCGCAGTATCATGATACGGCGCACACTTTCTTGTGAAACTTGCATAAGCATGTCTGTTTAGGCCCGTTTACATTGACCTGACGAGGGCGCGTTGAGTCGAAATAAACAGGTTTTCTGGACTCGCCCTCCCCATGTATAAGCGGACGCGTTGGGGCGGAGAGTCGTCGCGGCGAGTCTCGTAGACCCGGAGACAGGGGGTAGGCTCACCGAACTCGCCGCGCTCAGAAAGGGCATGTATAACCGGTCGCGCTGAGTTGACGGCTCGTGACTCTCCCGCCCGTCGCGGTCTCTGCTTCCCTTGTCCCTACAGTGTACTAGAATGGGGACAGGTACCGTGTACAGGATGGGGACAGGTACAGTGCACTGTACCTGTCCCCATCACTCCGACGTTGCTCTTTCTCTGTCGGCCGGTACGCGCGCGCTAGGCATGATGACATCCTCGCGGGCTCCACGCACCATGTGGACAGATGATGAAATAATGACGTTGCTAGCTTTAGTCAACGAGAAAAAACTGAGTGATTTGCTCGATAGCAAGCGGCAAAAAATAAGGACATGTTTATGGACCTGGAAAGATGTTTGAAGGAACAGGGCCTGACGTGGACGTGGGAGCAAATAGGGACCTGTAGGAAGAGTTTGAAGTACGCTTCACGGCTGTAAGTACCTCCCTGTTCGCTTTGATTCGAAAAGTTTTCAGGCGCTTTAACAGAACCACTGCTGCCATCGCGTTGTGCAGTGTTAGCCAAGACACCAACACAACCATAAAGTACAGCTGGTGCAAACTGAGAAAAATACCAAGACAGCCATCGCGGTGGCGGAGCGACAACTGCGTGAACAACCGCAGCCCACAGCGGCGAGAGCGCAGGCTTGGAGGAGCGGAAACTGGTACCGGAAGACAGGCTTTCGGCTCGCCTGGACGCAAAGCGTCGCTGTGATCACCGCTCACCTCAACTCGTCCGTGCGAGTTCATATAAACTCGGGCGCGTCGAGGTAAGCTGAACCCGCCACTCAACTCAGCCCGCCCCCGTCGCGTCCATCTACACGGGGCTTTTGTTCCTTTGCGCCCATCGAGTCTCGTGCGACAGCCGCAGCCGCGCGAGGCCAGATTCGATCCGCGGAAGCGCGCAGAACTTTCTGCAGCCCGATTTCACGGTGAAAGGTGTTACAAGACAAAAACTGCCGATTCGTCCTCCGTATACTTAAAAGCAGCGGTGCCAGGATTCTTGTTACTGGGGCGGCACCCACAAGCAAGTTCCTCTGTAATGGCACGACGGCGAGTAACTCCTGCGTTCCGTTTTGGTTACGTTCGCTCTTGAAGGGGCATGAGGCCAGATGAAAGTTTAGGGGGTTCAAATCTAGCTCACCCCCTCCCGTGTTTTCCAGCTAGCGTCACCCCTGGTACTTGTCCACCACCGGTAATGGTGTCCGCGCGGTATCTCCCAATGCAAGAAAAAAATCAAATGAGAAGAAAAGGTTTCCACAGTCGAATGGGATTTAAACATCCAGCCCTCTGGGTGGCGGTGGATCATTCTACAACAGAGCAACGATGGTGCTTCAAACTCATAAAAAGTACCCTATACAGCCGCCTTATCGAGCAAGGAATCGTTCCAAGCTGGTAAATACACTCTTAAAATAGACGGACAACAAGGTGTCGCTCAACGCGAATTGTGCAACGAGCTACATGCTCGTTGAATGTTTCCAACCAATTACTACCTCTTTCATTCCAGTTACGTACTGTTTACTAACGTTGGTAGTAAACAGGTCGCAAAAAGTTGGTAACGGTTGCAGATAGTAACTGTTTACTTACGTAGGTAGTAAACAGGTAGTAACGGTCCAATAAAGGTAGTAACCGCTGCTGCAATCACTACCTATTTGCTTGCAGTTGCTACCTTTTTACTAACTTTTTTTAAAGTGTATTTGCCACGCGCTTGTGTGCTCAGGCTCATATTGCTCACGATAGTACTTGTACGATAATGGCTGTATATAGTGATGTCTCGCTCTAGAACGGCCGCTATTCCATCTTTCACAGTGACTATGCTGCGGAGGCCTGCAGCAATTTCTTTCAATACACGGGCGTCCTATAGCTTGAGCCATTGACGGAGTCAAATCATTCGCGCGCGCGTATTTGGCAGTCTACAAACTCGTATCAAATTTTCGTTCTGAATGGCCAGCTTATGTGCCGACGAGCAACTACCTACTCGTGGCAGCAAGATCAGAGATCGAAAAGCACGTCTGCATGTTCCCGTTGCTCGTGAACAAATGTGCAGGGCCGACTTCGTTGACGTAACCGATTCATGTCGGTGCGTCTATTTTATCGTTCAGATAACGAGTACGTACAGACGTATTGCTTGGTTGCTCTCCCAATACTGAAAGACTGATAGCCGATAATGCCTTTACTTTTACAGATTGTACCGATTGCCATATGAATGCAGCGATCGACATATAAGCAATTAAGACCCACCGGGTGCTCTTACCGAAAAACTACAGCAACGTTCTCCAAATTTTACACACCCAAAATTGACCAAAAGCTTCCATAACACAAATAATTTATTTTCAACTCTGCTACCGTTGAACGGAGCATCTCAGACTAGCCTGGTCAGTATGACTGACTTCCACCGGGCCCGTCGCTGCCTTTGTGGCTGCCCTGCGGTGGTTGACTGGCGCCGGTCTTCTTCGGCAGCAGCTCCTGCGGGATGTTGGGAAGCACGCCGCCCTCCGAGATGGTGACGCCCGACAGAAGCTTGCTCAGCTCCTCGTCGTTACGGACGGCCAGCTGCAAGTGTCGCGGAGTGATGCGCGTCTTGTGGTTGTCGCGTGCCGCGTTACCCGCCAGCTCGAGAACCTCGGCCGTCAGGTATTCGAGAACAGCGGCCATGTAGACCGGGGCGCCGGCACCAATTCGGTCGGCGTAGTTCCCTTTGCTCAGCAGCCGGTGGATACGCCCCACAGGGAACTGGAGGCCCGCCCTCGAGGACCGAGACTTGCCCTTGGTGTTCTTAGATGCCTTTCCTGCTGGGGCCCGGCCGGACATTGTGGAACTGGAAGGAACGCACAATGCAATGAGTGGTCTGAAAGAAGCGGGAAGTGCCAAAGTTCAAAGGCTGCATGACACATACGGTGATGAACATTTAGCCTCGCCACAACTGACAACTACTAAAGAACTCAGTACGGAGCATACTAAGGCGCAAGCTTACATTATTCGCATGCCAAGAACAGCACATGGCGAGTAGCAAGCACAGGTGAGTTTGAAATAAAAACTTCAATATGCGTTATTACCGCATCCCGGCAAAATACAACCAGTTAGATTATAGAAACAAGAATCGTTTTAACTGTTATCGAGATCGTTAGAACCAGTCGCGTATTTTACGTTCATGCATTTAAAGAAGAAAAAATTGCATGGCGTACAGTTCGACTGTACTGAAACACTCACTTGCGTAAGGCGCCTACGGCTGTCGGGGAAGCTGCCTCGGGAACGTGTATGAAGGGTTCCTTCTAAGCACTGCTGCGAATGAGCCCTCGTCGACGCAGCTTGGCAGTTTATATTGAACGAGCATCTCTCACGTGACCGTCTGGTTGCGTCGTGTTGAGCCGAATCATGCTGGTTCTGAAACTATCTTCACAGAGTGCGATAAGGAGGCGGCCTTTCCGCAACGATTATCGCTGATACACCTGGCAACATATGTAGCATCAGCTGTCAGCCGTTGGAGCATAAAAAACGCGCAAATATAAAAAAAAGGCTGAAAAAAAACATTTTAGTGTAGAAGTAGCGCGTATTAATCAAAGCGTATCGGCACACATTTTCTGGAAATTGCTTCTTTAATGAAAGGGCCAAGAATGTAGCCAGAAATTTGAGGTGATGTGTTTCTTTTTTTCGACTAAAGCAAAAGTTTTATTGTTTTTGAGAAGCGGTGGAATAATAACCTTAACTGAGGGTAGCACGTATATAAAAAGTTGTCACAAAGCGCATTCGTTAGACTGAGATCGAAGGAATACAACGTATCATTTTCGAAGTTTTTTTTTAAGAGGACAAAAGGCACACGCGCTGTGTACCAGCTTAACTTTGCTCCGACAAACTTGCGTCTTATACAAGGCAACGAAGCCATCACAACAACCAAAGCTGAAGCTCGCACAAGTAATGCGGGTATACGAACGTGAATAGGGGAGTTCAAAACTTGTGGGAAAAAAACTTGGCGGCAACTAACCGCAGCCTGTGTACGCAAGCAGAAATGCCCGTCATTCACGCAAACCTCTGTGAAAGGTGAACTGTTCGAACTGCTGGGGTTTAACGTGTGCCAAAAGCACACGTGTGAGCGAAGCAGGAGCGGATGACTTTGTTTATGGCCATCTGGGGAAATAATATTGATACATTTTAAATTTTGCATTTGTATGCAAGCGCAGAACAGTATATATAGTTCATCCACCTCCCCCTTTAGCTCAAGAAAAAAATTTCTGGCCACGCTACTGACATATACGTGTTAAATTTACACCTCAGGGTAACACTGCTCGGGTGCCGTGAACAGCATTCGAAATAAGCGTGCTCGAGCTTCGCGCAGCAACATCCCACCGCTAAGCTGTGTACGGTGATAGGTACTGCGACAAGCTATACCCTCCAGGTATGCGAGAGCAGGAAATGCAGCGAACCCCGCCGCGGTGGTCTAGTGGCTAAGGTACTCGGCTGCTGACCCGCCGATCGCGGGATCAATTCCCCTCTTCGGCTGCTGCGTTTTAGATGAAGGCGAAAATGCGGCAGGGCGCATTTCCGGCTCCACCAAAAATGCACCCGCCGAGGCCAGGATTTGATCCTGCGACTTTCAGTATATACAGCAGACGGGCACCAATAACTACTAGGCCACCATGACAGATCCCTCTGATTTCTCATAATCAGATTGATTGATATGTGGGGTTTAACGTCCCAAAACCACTATATGATTATGAGAGACGCCGTAGTGGAGGGCTCCGGAAATCTGGCGCACAGTTTGACCGAGGTAAATGCAAATGGACTCATCCAGCGCTTCGTGTAAACTTACTTCGTGTAACTTTCGCGCTTTTTTTTGTTATATATATGGGTGCAATGGCCGGCGCTACCTCTTATGGCAGGTAGATTTCGCTCGCGCGTTTTCATAATATCTTTGCTAGGAGTGCCTGGGCGACAATTTCTTTCTCGTTGTAATATTCGGAGCAAATTCATGCGTAAGCTTTTTTATTAGTGTGGAATACACACATACCTGTGATAAAATGGTCTTCGCATACTCTGGCTCCAACGCCCCGCAGCGGTGGTCTAGTGGCTAAGGTACTCGGCTGCTGACCCACAGGTGGTGGGTTTGAATCTCAGCTGCAGCGGCTGCATTTCCGATGGAGGGGGAAATGTTGTAGGCCCATGTGCTCAGATTTGGGTGCACGTAAGAGAACCCCAGGTGGTCGAAATTTCCGGAGCCCTACACTACGGCGTCTCTCATAATCATATGGTGGTTTTGGGACGTAAACCCCACATATCAATCAATCAATACTCTGGCTCCAACGTTTGGTACACAAATAGTACCTGTCTGTGTGGCTCTCTTCACAGCCGCTGGCCACGTCATTTTCTTCCTTCGTTCCATGGGAAGCGACGCACGCGTTTGCCTTTCACGCTCGTGTTGGAGCAGCCAACGGCTGAACAACCGGCCATGGTTTATCAGGACGAAGATAAACAGGCAACCGCGCGCACGAATCTCGAATAATCTGAGGCTTGCTGTATAGGTGGTTCGCCGTCATCTATAGTCTTCTCAAACCAGGAGACGGCTGCAGACGGTGCATCCCACAATTCCTCGCTCTTTTACTGGCCACCTATTGCAGCTAACACGTGGTTTTATGCAGAATGTTTCCATTGTTATCGTTACTGACGCTGCAATTGCGCGCACGTGCTGTCGGGATAAAAATTAGCGCAACTTTACGTGTACAGTATGTCCAGTAAATAGAGTTGTAAGGTGTATGTTAAAGGGACTAAACTTTTTTTTGCATTTAAGCAAAGGTTACCGCGTGCGTGTTCACTTTGTTGCGTTTGCGGAAAAGCGTTGCTGCTGGAAACACTCGCCCTATTAATTATTTGCGGACACCGTTGGATTTACGGTATCCGCAAATCAGCGAAGGAAGCTGTAGCGACCATTACGCAGCGCGTGCATGGTACAGCATATGCAGCGGCTCTGATTACACTTCGTGCATAAGGACGCCATGGACTGAGTAGAACGCATGCGCCCAATTCCTGCTCACGAGCGTCAGGCGAAACTAGACCTGCGCTAGAGTGCACTAGAAGTGTTCCTGTGCGCCGCTATACCAAATAACCGGCGGCGGTGGCGCACCCATGGAGCGGGGTCCATGGTATCGATGGTGGCGCGGCGCAGGAGGGTAGAGTGGAAGTAGGACCAAGATTCAAGTGTTGATGGGCATAGAAACCTGTCCCTTCAATTAAAAAAAAACAATATTTCCCGACCGCGTGAACCAGTTATGGTTGTAGCCGCATGTCTTAATGGTAACTATTTATAAAGACTGCTATATCAGATTCCGATAGAAAGCAGGTGTAAATACAGATGTTCAGCGCCTTGAAAAGAATGTAATTTAACAATATACATGTTTACGCAATTTTGTTCCAATTGCTCAGCACTGAGTCTGCGCAGATACCCATCAAGCTCATGCAGAAAGTGCACTTTCTGTAGAAAAATTGAAAAACGAACAAAATAAAATGAATACAACCCTGAATAAATCAAACGGGCACACCATTTGGATGATCAAATAACCGTGTACAGTGGGAAGGTGCAAGAAGGGTGTGAGCGCTAGAACGCTCGGACGGGTGTGAAATATATAGTTATGCAGGAGGATGACTCGATTGCAAAGTGCGACGATGTTCCGAGAGGGGCTGCAGCGATAAAGCATGTGCATGCGAAGTAGGTGAGGCACGCCAGATAAAGCATGCGCATCAGAAGCAGGCGAGACACGACGATGTATAAGCACTATTGCTTTTAGGGGTGAAGTTCCTTAAGTAGTGGGGTAGTAGTAGTAGTAGTAGTAGTAGTTGTTGTTGTTGTTATAGCAGCAGGAGCAGGTAGCCAACGCTTGTTTACTCCCTGGAATGTCCGCTGGATGGTGGTACTTGTATAGGATGTATATATGACGAAAATATGCAAGATGACGGTACTTGGCGTGTTCACTAGATGTACGGACGAATGAACGCACGGACGAACAGATGAACGAACGCACAGACAGACGGACGGACCGATGGACGCATGAACGGACGCATGGACGGTCGCACGAACGGATGGAAGCAAGAACAAACAGACGAAAGGAAGCATGAACTCATACTGACGGACGCTTCGCCCCACTCACCATCATTCACTCCGTGGATATGCTCTGATTTTTACTAAACAGATTCTAGTATAGCTATGCGAATGCAAAGTAGGCGAAGAGTGTTGTGGCGAGGCCACCAAACAACCAACAAATATTCAAGCCCGATGAAAGTCTTATGCGCTGTTAGTCAGCATTCTTTTGCCGAGTTGCTTAACGTGCGTTGGGGACACCAAAGTTTTAGAAGAGTTTATTTCGGATTGTTTCGACGTATATGTGCCATTTTAATTCTGCTGTGAGAGTTTCACCAATGTATTTAAACTACAGAATCCGTACACAATTACACCATCATTAGTGTACGTAAAATGAAGAGGCTGTTTCTTATTTAAAAAAATTGGCCCCGTGTCTGCATGTTAATCGGAAAATCTCGTCAAAAGACAATAGTCTTGCGTGTGGAAAGAGTGAACAAGACATTTATTTGATGTTTTGTGCACGGAAATTGGTGAATGGTATTCTGGAGGCGCTGCGTAGAGTGCCTCGAGCGTGCAGCGGAGGTGAACGAGCGCATTAAGTCATGTCACACGTGAGACATGAGTGCCATCTGGCAGTTTTTTTAGAAAACAAAGCGCGTGGCTCTGAGACGGGTGTGCGTGCCCATCTCAGAGGTGATAAGGTGTAAAACGCAAGGCGATGGGCAGGTGCCACCACCGTCTCGTCGTAGCAAACCGTTGAAAACGCTCGCCTTTCCGTGCAAGCGTTGCATAGTCAGCGCAGCGTGATAAGCGCTACGGTCCTTAAAATAACCATTGTATGCCTTTTATAGTAAAAGACGGACGGACGGAAAAACTTTATTTAAAAAAAAGGTTACCGGCCCGGGCTCAGGCCACCCCGACGTTTTGTGCGGTGAGGCGTAGCCTTTCCACCGCGGTCCGGGCACGCTGGATTGCCCACAGTTGGTCGTGCAGATCTGAGCTATAGTCAGCGCACTTAGCCAACGCTCCTCGAGAAGGTCCAGTTTTATATTGTCCTCTCGGTATATTACTGTGACCTGAGTGCATATCCATAGAATATGTGCCATATCTGCGTGTTCGTGCTTACAGAGGGTACAGCTTGTTTGTGGGTATTGTCTGGAACTTACTCTGTTCAGGTGTACTGAATTTGGAAAAATTCTGGTTTGCAATCTTCGCCAATATGTTTTTTGAGA